CCCCATGTGTGCAGCCCTCGATGCAATGCACCCTGTGCAATGCACCCCATGCAATGGACCCTGTGCGATGAACCCCATGTGTGCAGCCTCCCATGTGCTGCACCCCATGCACTGCACCCCGTGTGTGCATCCTCCCATGTGCTGCACCCCATGCACTGCCCCATGCAATGCACCCTATGCAATGCACCCTGTGCGTCCATATGCTGCACCCCATGCAATGCATCCCATGTGCTTCACCCCATGCAATGCACCCCATGCACAGCTCCCCGTGCACTGCCCCCCATGCGCTGCCCGGCGTGCGCGGCCCCGCTCACCGGCGCCGCCGAGTCGTCCGAGAGCAGCGAGGCGGCGAGCGGGGGCTCGCGCGGGGCGGCCGCCGCCTCCTGCTGCACCTTCTCCTTGAGCTGGCTGAGGAAGAGCTCGCTGCGCGGCGGCGGCTGCCACCGCGGGTTGCTGATGGCGAAGCGCATGAGCGAGAGCTCGGTCTTGCCGTGCTCGGCGCGCCGCTCCGCCGGGGCCTCGCTGTGCGCCGCCGAGAGCCACTGCGGGTGCCCGTGGTGCCGCACGTCGAGCTGCGCGAAGGAGCAGATGTCGCCCACGCCCACCACCTCCACCGTGAAGTTGCGGAAGAAGTCGACGATGTCGAGCGCGCGCGCGGGCAGCGCGAACATGAGGATGAGCGGCGTCACGATGGGGCTCAGCAGCTCCTCCAGGATGAAGACCTGCGGGGCGGCGCGAGCGGTGACGGCACCGGGGGTCCTGCTCGGTGCCGCAGCCTGCTCACCACGGGGTCCCGCTGCCCCACGGGGTCCTGCTCCCCACTGTGTCCATCCCTCCACGGGGTCCCGCTCCCTGCCGTGTCCCACTCCCCGCCGAGTCTATCTCTCCACAGGGTCCCATTCCCTGCCAGGTCCCTGCTCCCTGATGGATCCATCTCTCCACAGGGTCCCATTCCCTGCCAGGTCCCCGCTCCCAGCATAGTCCCTGCTCCCCAGCGTGTCTCTCTCTCCAAGGGGTCCTGTTCCCTGTGAGGTTCCTGCTCCCTAATGGATCCATCTCTCCACAGGGTCCCTACTCCCCGCCAGATCCCGCTCCCCACCAGGTCCATCCCTCCGCAGGGTCCCGCTCCCCGACAGGTTCCCCGCTCCCCGACAGGTTCCCCGCTCCCCAACGGGTCCATCTCTTCACAGGCTCCCATTCCCTGCCCCGTTCCCGGCACAGCCCCTGCTCCCCGCCAGGTCGCTCCGTGCGCGGGCTCCCGCTCACCGCCTTGTACTGGAAGAGCTGGGCCATCTCGGCGCGCGTCTCGCCCTTGCTGGCRTTGCCCTGCCAGCGCTCGGGCATGTAGTGGATGTGGGCGAGCACGCGCTGCAGCAGCTGCTCGGGGCTCCACACCGGGTGCTCGTCGGGGATGAAGGACCTGCGGGGTGGCAGCACCGCGTCGCACCCCGCGCCGGCGCCCGGCGCCTGCCCCGCGCCCCGCGCGCCCCACCTGGCCCCCGTGAGCACCAGCCCCAGCAGCGTGACGGCCGTGAGGATGTGCTGCACGGCCAGCACGTCCTCGTCGTACACGGTGAGCGCGATGAGCGCGGCGAGCAGCGAGCCCGCGAAGAAGGCGGCGTTCCTGGCGAGCACGGCGAGCAGCGGGCTGGCGAAGGAGTTCATGTAGCGGGTGGCCGGCTTGTGGCCGCGGCTCAGGCGCGCCCGCAGCTCGTGGTTGAGCTCGTTGAAGTGGCGCAGGTAGTGGCGCCCGTAGAGCGACCAGCGGCGCGCGCCCAGGCTGCCCGGCTCCCGCTTGAGCACCTCGGTGTAGCTGAAGAAGGCGTAGAGCAGCTGCCACACGAGCACCAAGGGGCACAGCAGCAGGTTGGCCACCCCCAGCAGCACCATGGCGCGCGCCAGGCGCTGCGCCAGCGCCAGCCGCGAGCCCGCCCGCTTGTACTGCGGCTGCAGGTTCCACTTGTTCTGGAAGAGCGAGCCGGGGCCCCAGAAGAAGAGCAGCTCCAGGTTGTACTTGAGGCCCTGCGTGAGGAAGACCACGGGGCCCAGCAGCGGCAGGCGGAAGCGCACGGGCAGCAGCGACTTGTTGACCATGGCCACCGTGTAGTTCTTGAAGCGCAGGATGCGGTGGTAGATGTCGAGCTCCGTGAGCTCCCTCTTGTGCACGCACATCTGCTGCTCGCGCTGCAGCGAGATGAGCCGCGCCTGCACCTCCTGCCAGCTGTAGTTGCACAGCCCGTCCTGCAGCGGGGACAAGCGGCTCGGCGCGGGCACGGTGCCCCACGGCTGCCCCACGCCGCCCCACAGCCACCCCGCTCACCGAGGGGATGCGCAACGCCTTGATGTAGAAGTTGCGGATCTCCCAGTAGCTCAGCAGGCTGCAGAGCACCTTGACCAGGCGGTAGAGCCAGAACACGGCAGCCATCACCAGCAAGAAGATGAGCCAGCCGTTGGCGCGGATCCTGCGGGTGCAGGCGGGCGCCGTGGGGCGGGCGCCGTGGGGCGGGCTGCGCCCCCCTCGGCCCGTCGCTCACCTCCGCGCGCACTGCGGCGCGGGCAGCACGGCGTCGGGCAGCGTCACCTTGGGCGGCGGCGCCGCGCCGCCGCTCTGGTTGAGCGGCCGGTTGGCGAAGAGCACGTCGTACTGCACGCAGCACAGCAGGAAGGTGCTGAAGGCCACCACGAACAGGAACTGCCTGGGGGCAGCGCGCGGCTCAGTGGGGCCCGGTGCCGCCGTCCCCAGCGCCGTCCCCAGCGCCGTCCCCAGCGCCTACACCAGCTCAAAGAGGTCGGAGAGCATCATGCAGGCGAAGCCGTTCTTCTGATGGAAGTGGTAGATGTTGGGGGCGCGTTAAGGAGCGTGCATGCGGTGCCCCCCCACGGCGCCCCACGGCACCCCAGCCGGCCCGGCGCGCGCCGCCGCAAGGATATCTTGGTGAAGAAATTATCCAGGTTCTTGATGTGGTGCCAGGAGTCTGACGAGGAGCGAGAAAAACAGCCGGGCTGAGCCGGGGCCAGTGCCAGTCCCGGCCCAGCCCCACAGGGAGCCGTGGGGCAGCCCGGGCCCAGCCCATGATGAGCCGGGAAGCTATGGGGCAGGCTGTGTCACAGGCCCCCCAGCTGTGTCCATAGGAGAACTATGGGGCAAACCAGGTCCCAAAACCCTCCAAGTGTCCCAGCCACCATGCGACAGGGCAGGCCAGGCCCCGAGCCCCAGGGCTGTGACCAAGCAGAAAGCTATGGGGCAGGACGGGCCCCGTGACACTAAGCTATGGGGCAGGAGGGGCCGCATGTCCCTAAGCTATGGGGCAGGAGGGKCCCATGACCCTGCGCCAAGGCTGGGTCCCAACTGGAGAGCTGTGGGGCTGGCCAGGGGTGGGCCTCCCAGATCATGCCCCAGGCAGGGAGCTGTGGGGCAGGAAGGGTCCCGGGTCTCGGGAGCCCCAGAAAGGCCCAAGCCAGGAGCTATGGGGCAGGTTGGCCCRGCCCCCGCTGTGGGGAGCCCCATGGCATTGCCCACGCGCCCTGGCCATGGGGGGCCGCGAGCGGGGCGGCGCGGGCGCTACCTTGCAGCCCCTCGGTGACGTGCAGCAGCAGCTCCTCCTCGCCGGGCGGCGAGTCCTCCTCGTCCTCCAGGCGCTGGTACTCGCCCTGCGCTGCCATCGCCGCTGCGCCCGCCCGCGCGCCGCCTTGGCACCGGAGCCGGCAGCGCCGCCCGCTCCGCGCGGGGCAGCTCCCCCCGCACCTCCTGCCGCCCCCGGCACCCCACAGCTGCCCCCGGACCCGCCGGGACCCCCGAGGGCCCTGCACCCATCAAGACCCCCCAACTTCCCGGAACCCCCCAGTCCGTGGGGCTGCCAAGACCCCCAACCTCCCGGGACCCCCCCAGCCCCTGGACCCACCGGGACCCCCTGACATCCCAGGACCCCCCAGTCTGTGGGACTGCCCAAACACTGGGACCTCCCAGGACYCCCAACTTGCCGCCAACTCCTGAGAGTCCCAAGTCCCCAGGCTGCCCCTACCCCAGCCCCCAGGGACCCCCAAACTCTCAGGTCCCCCCCAGCTCCCGGAACCGCCGGGACAGCCCGACCCAGAACCCGCGGCTCCCGGTCCCCCCCTCACCGCCGCCGCCGCCGCCGCCGCGCTCGGGCCCTGACTCAGGGCGCGGGGGCCGGACCGGGCCGGACCGGGCCGGGCCGGGCCGTGATTCAGCGCGTGCTCCGGGCGGGGGGGGCGGCGCTGCCCGCGGYCCCCCCCCCGCTCCCGCCCCCGGGGGCCGGTGCGAATAAACAGCCCGAGGCGGCGTCGCTATAAATAGCGCGGGGGGGTAAACACCCCCCCGGGACCCCGCGGGGCGCCCCGCCACGCACGGACCCCCTGGGGACACGGGAGCGCGCGGACCGTCCTGCAGGGACACGTGCACCCCGGGGACCCCGCGGTGACACAGCGGCCCCAGGGGGACACGTGCACC